TGACCAAAGGTTTGACTTTTGAATAAATGACATTGAAATCGAGATTTGAAGGTTCCTATAAGTTTGTAAGGGTATTTCGGACTTTAGTGTATGTTTTCGTTTAGTATTAGATGATCTGGGAGCCATTCGGCTCTTGTTATTGGAAATTTGTATTTTTAAGATTTTGAATTAAATAATTTTTATTTAGAGTGGACTTTGGTGTTATTGAACTCCGGGAGGTTTTCTTGGACCTTGGATAGGTTAAATTTGTTGATTGGAACTTGTGTGTGAATTTTGACCTTGATCCGGAATGTCTAAGTGAGATTCGGACGCGTTCGGCAAAGTTGAAGGCTTGAAAGTTAAAAGAAGGATTTTGATTGTTGATTTATTGTTTTGAATCTATTCGTGGGGTTTCGAGACTTTGGATAAGGTATGAGGACTTGTTAGTATGGTTGGACGAGGTTCGAAAGCATCGGGTGTATTTCAGGGTGGTTTCGGACTATTTCTCTATAACTTGAAGTTGCTGGTTTCGGGTGTCAGAGGTGTGCATCATGATCACGTAGGAGATATTGCAATCACAAAGGGTTGTTGGAGCTGGAGAAGAATCTATTCCTCGCGACCGTGGTTGGAGGTTCGCGGTCGCGATTGATGATTTGGTGGTGCTTCGCGCTTGCGTAGTGAGGGTCACGAACGTAATGTGTAGCGGGTGCTGGTCTGGATTGGAAGTTTGAGCTTCGCGATCGTGTACTTGTGAGTTCTGGGGGCTGAATTTTGGCCTTTGCATTCATGGGACTAAACTCATGTTCTCGTAGGTTTGGGTTGCTATTTTTCGCGATCGCGAGAGGTCTCTTGCGATTGAGTAGAAGGAGATTCTAGCGGTGGCAGTATTGGTCTTTGCTTTTGTGATTGTGTAGCAGAAGGACATGGCCAGAACATAAGTTAACAAATCGAGAATTTACTCATTTTCACCTCGTTTTCTCTTTTGGAGGTGTGTGGGTGATTTTGGAGAGCTATTTCATCCACCTATTGAGGGTAAGACCCCTTTTGATTATATTTCATGAACATATATGGATTTTAACATAAAAATTGGTAGAAATTTGAGAATTTTGGAAGGAAACCTAGAAATGATATTTTTGGAATTTGACCATGAAATTGGACATAGAATTGGGAATAAATTATATATTTGAGTTCGTGGTGTTGTGTATAATATTTATCTCTTAGAATTTTTGGAATCTAGGAGAATGGGCCTGAGGGTTGACTTTGTTGACTTTTCGTGTGGAGTTGGAAATTGTTTCAAATTTAAAAATTATGAGTCTTTGAGTATATTTTTATTGGTTTGTACATTCTTTGGCTAGTTTCAGATTGTGTGGCATTGGTTAGAGGTGTCAGAGAGGCGTTGGAACCAGTTATCAGATTTCAGAGCAAGATAAGTCTCGTATCTAACTTTGTAAGAGAAAATTTACCCGTAGGTGCTATATTTTTTATGTCTACATGTTATGGGAGCTACAAACTTATGAGGTGACGAATTTTTGTGCGTATGTTATAATTCATGACTATGTCCGGGTAGACTTAGACTCACACCATATTTTAATTATCATATTTGAGTTATTCTTGCCCGTTCAAATGCTTTAAGTTATATTTTAGCCTGAGACTAGACTTGTGTAGAATATCGAACTTGCTATTTCAGATACTTGATGAGCTACTTGCTTTGTCATGGAAATTATACTTCCTTTTATGGATTTCTCTCGTATTGTAAGTATTTGTCTGAAAGTTTCTTGAATTTCATAGCTCACACACACACACACACACACACACACACACACACATATATATATATATATATATATATTGCTCTTACTCGCCATGCTTCATTCCTGTCTACCTTTATTGTATTTTGATTATTGGACCACTAGTATGGGTCGATGTCAATCCCTCATCATTACTTCTTCGAGGTTAGGCTAGATACTTACTAGGTATGCGCTGATTTACGTACTCATACTACACTTCTGCACTAATTGCACAGGTACTGAGATATATACGTCTGGTGGTCTTATCGACACGTAGGCTTGCTGAGGAGACTTTGTGGTGAGTTGTTCTCTATGTTACGATCTGCATCACACAGAATCCCCGTTCTATTCATTTACTATATTATGTCTATTTTCTATTCAAGATAGTAATTGTAGTAGTATTGTATATTCTAGTAAATGCTTATGTACTTGTAACACTGGATTTTGGGGATGATTCTTGTTCTTGGTTGTATTCTGTTATGACATTTGGATTTATAAATTAACCATGTTCGAGCATTTAAAATAATATCAGTATTATCTATAAAAATGAAAGACTCTGGTTATTTATCTCATTATTTGTTTTGGGATGTCTTGGAATTATCTAACGGCGAGTTGATTTATTTGTTGGGTTTCCTAACGGCAGTGTTGGATGTCATCACAATTTATGGTGGGAATTGGGTCGTGACAATCACCCTCAAGGTTTTTCCGTCTCATCCAAGTTATCAAAAGTATCATCCTCATGTTTATTCCCATTGGAAACCGATGGAAAGAGCTTCAAGTACTTATCGATCTCTGAACTCAGATCATGAACATGTGTTGGAGCTTTAGTACCCCTCTGTGCCTGATCTTCTACGAAAATAGCGAGTAGCTAGATGGCTTGTAGTAGGGACGTAGTGTTATAAATCGCAGAAGGTGGCACTGTAGGTGCAACTAGCATAAGTAGAGGTACCTACTCTCCGACTCTCGGCCCTCGGGCTCCTTGGGGGATAACATTGACCCCTTGGAACTATTGAGACCCCACATGAGGCCTCATTGGGAAACACCTCGTCATGATTATTGGGTGCACTTTGATTTACGTACATGTGTGTACCAACTATATTATCTATAAGTCACAACAATACGTGTGTTAGAGCATACCATAAAGTTAAGATCTACTTGCACGATCTAGAATAAACAAGGATTGTGAAACTTTCTATAATGTATATATCCTCCAAGATACATGAGTGATATAAACAACAGACACATAAGTTAGACTCTACAAGACATAGCTCCAGAGACTCCCTAGGACACATTAAACTTGGCTATGATACCAACTTTTTCTGCTCCAAAATGGAGTGGGATGTGGCCAGCACCCAGTGCCTACCAACTTGCACTGAGCAAAACATTATAGCATAATGCATACCCTAATTCATATTCGCGTCATTCAATTATAAATTAATAATGATACCGGTGATTAGAGAAATAAATTAAACTCCATTAATGATCAAAATGCATCAAAAGCATAAACTAGACATAAGTAAAAATATCATATGTGATGCCATAAATCCTCTATGGATCCTCTATGATGCTATGAATAAAATAATAATGTTGTGCGGCTATCCTGCACTATTTAAAAATATTAAATTGAAGAGAAGTAGCCCCACAAGTACAAGGGTAGGCTCACTAAAAGATGAAAGGCTACAGGAACTCTAGCTTGTACGTTGACCGTCCTTTATTCCGAGCATCAGCTAAACCTAACATCATTTAAATAAATGATACCTTAGTATTTGAATACTCATTTACGGCTTGGCTACTCATGGTATGAAATATATTGTAATGACATGGACAGTCGTTTTGATTAGTATAGTCTCTTTCCCCTATTAATCATTTTTTCTATGCTCATTTAAGGTTATGTGACTTTTCGGGGTGGTTCGATTGGTTTTGGGGAGGTTTCAGAGTAAATTGTGACACTTAGTCACAAAAAGTTGGAAACTTTGGTTGATAGAGTTGACCAAAGTTTGACTTTTGTGTTAACGACTCCAAAATAGAGTTTTGATTGTTCTGATAGCTTCGTGTGGTGATTTTAGACTTTGGAATATGTCCGGATATTGATTTGGAGGTCTGTAGGTTGATTTGGTGCTTTTTGGCGAAAGTTGGAAAGTTGAAGCTTCACCCAATTCTTCTGCGATCCGATTACAAAGTGGCGGAGATATTCCTCCAGCATGCCATTGAACCACTCTGTCTTGCCATTATATTGCGGGTGGAAACTTTGAGCTGTGACTCAATTTTGATCCGAGGCACTTAAAGAGTTGGGTCCAAAAATTGCTAGTCAAGCGTGAGTCGTGATCACTAACGATGTCTTTAGGCAGGCCCCAATATTTGACGACATGAAAGAAGAAGAGTTGAGTTGTATCTTTTGCTGATATATATTGTGGGGCTGCTATAAATGTAGCATACTTGGAAAACCAATCCACCACAACCAATATAGTTGTGAGATCTCTGACCTTGGGCAATCCGTTGATTAAATCCAAGGAAACACTTTCCCAAGGTCTCTTTAGGACAACTAGTGATACCAAGAGTCTCGCTTGTGTCAATTGGTTCGACTTGTCCTTCTAGCATACTAGATAAGTCTTCTTATACTGAGCGATGTCATCGGCCATTCGAGGCCAATAATATGCACGAAGAAGTAATGCCATGGTGCATTTTTCACCGCGATGGTCAGCCCACAAAGTATCGTGACATTCTGCGAGAAGAGTCCTTCACAGATCTCCTCCTTTAGGAACATAGAGTCGGTTCCCTTTCATTTTTAGGAAACCATCTTCCATGTAGAACTGGCGGGTCTTGACCTATCCTACCAAATCAACCAAATACTATGCAGCAGGATCCTTGATAAGTAGATCCTGTATCTGGTCTTTTATGGTGGTGACTGCTTTGCTCCACCTTAGGGTGGCGAGTAGGCACAATGATGCTAGATCAGCTCTCCGACTGAGCGCATCAGCAACATGATTAGTCTTCTTACTTCGGTACTCCAGGTTGAAGTGAAATTCCACTAGGAGTTCCTGCTACCTAGCTTGTTGACCATTCAACTTCAGTTGGGTATGATATTGCTTGCAATTGTGTTGTATGTCTTAACCACAAACGGGGTTCCCAGCAGATAGTGCCTACAAAGGCGTAAGCAATGAACAACAACCAATAATTCATTCTTATGGGCGGCATAGCGCCACTCTGCATCCTTTAGCTTCTGGCTCTCGTACGCTACAGGATGCCCTTCTTGTAGCAAGACTCTGGCAAGGGCAGAGTCGAAGGCATCTGTTTATAACTTGAATCACTTGCCAAGACGGCGCTACTAGACATAGCCGTTTTCAATACGTTGAAGGCCTCCCCTCCCATGGGTCCCCAATCCCAAGGCATGACCTTCTTGAAGAGTTCTCTCAATGGCACTACGAATATGGAGTAATTTTTCATAAATCGCCAATAGAAGTTGCATAGGCCAAGGAACGCCCCCAAGGCGTGGATATCGTTCGGCGGCGGCCAATATGTGATAGCCTGAATCTTCTGTTGGTCCATCTTGATCCGCCCTTCCTTAATGACATGTCTGAGGAAGTCAATCTATTTTTAAGCAAAGGAGAACTTGGATAGCTTAGCATATTATTCTTGCTCCCGCAATCGGGCTAGGACCTTCCGCAAGTGCTCCAGGTGTTCTTCTAGTGTTTGGCTATATACCACAATGTCATCCAAGTAGACCACCACGAATTCGTCAATGTACTCTTGGAAGACTTGGTTCATCAGGGTGCAAAATGTGGCTGGAGTGTTAGTCAAGCCGAATGGCATAACCAGGAAGTCGTTTGACCCATATCTTGTCACACAAGTCATCTTGTGTTCATCACCCTCTACAATCCGAACAAGCCAATAACCTATCTTCCGGTCTATTTTGGTGAACACTATCACACCACCCAATCTATCGAACAAGTATTTCATTAATGGAATAAGGTACTTGTTCTTCACGGTGATTTTATTTAGAGCCCTATAATCCATATAGAGTCGTAGGCTGCCATTATGTTTCTTTTGGAATAGCACAGAGGACCCATATGGGGACTTGAAGGGCACGATGATCCTTGTGTCTAGCATTTTTGTCAACTGTCTCCAAAGCTCGGTGTGTTTGGGTTGTGACATTCTGTAAGGCGCCTGGGCGCGTGGCTTCGCACCCGGCACCAACTCAATCTCAGGATCCATAGTGCACCTAGGAGGGAGTCTCTTTGGCATGTCATGTTGCATGACGTCTTCAAACTAGCAGCAGCTCTATCACGGGTGCAGGAAGGAGCATATCTTCAATGCAGAGGATAGCCTGGAACATAGGTTCATGCTTTTTGACCCCCTTCTTCAACTGCAAGGCCGAGATGTTCGCAGCGGCCATCTTCATGGGCATGCACTGGATAATTCAGGGCTTGGCCCCATTTGTTCCTATCATCAGTAGCATGTCTGCATACAATACAGGCATGTTTTTGGTTTTCCCCAGGAATTCCAACCCAACTATCAACTCGAAGTCATCTATGATCACCACGTGTAAGTTGAATTTTCCTTCATAAGGGTCAAGCTTTACTGGTACTTCTTTGGCTATTCCACCCACCGGCTGAGGAGGTGAGTTTATAGCCTTGACATGACCTCTTACCTTTCCTACAACTAGACCAAGGTGCTCCACCTGAGTCGAGGCTAAGTAGTTGTGGGTAGCACCTGTGTCTATCATCGCCCGAATGTGCTTGCCATTTACCTTTATCTTGACGAACATTAAGGTCCTCTATTGTCTAAGAGGAGTCCTCTCATCCTCCTTCTTTTCCCTTTCTTGGTGATGGGGCAGGGGTCCTTCTTCTTACGGATACCAGCACTGGTTCCCGCTAAGGCCTCAGAAATAGAGCCAATAATTGCATTGAAGGCACCAACTGGTTTGGTCTGGTCCGCATCATCGGTGTAGTAATCTGTCACATCATCAAAAGCTTGATTGGCGTTCATCTGTGCATGTGGGAATTCATTTCAATGTGGTCCACCGCATCTTGAATGGGGTTTCCTCCCCAAATCGTTGTTGTTAGATGCAATGCTAGTACTGCCTGAGGAGGGAGCCTTATATTTGGTTGCATTCCGATATCCTCCACTTTTGCTAGGGCCACCAATGCTAGGTTGGCCCCCTTTGTATCCTCCTCAGACAGGCTGTTGAGGCTTATCCATCTGAGCTTCCACTTGATAGTCCCCAAGGCACTCCATTGCTTGATTTACCTTGGGTAACGTATCTACCTTTTGTCTTCGTAGCTCCATACGGGCATAAGGTTTCAACCCTTCCAGGAATGTGAAAGGTTTGTCTTTGTCCCCCATGTCACGTATGCTCAACATGAGCGCGGAAAATTCTCGCACGTAATCCCGTACGGATTTGGTCAAGCGGAGCTCCCGTAGCTTTCTCCTTACATTGTACTCAACATTTTCTGAGAAGAACTGTAGGCGTATGGCTGTCTTCAATTCTGCCCATGTCTTGAGAGCATCTTCACCGGCCCTGATGGCTCCGTACTTCACCCACCACCAGAGTTTAATATCACCCTGAAGATATATGGCAGCAGTTGCTACCTTCTTAACTTCTTCTATGCCCCCACGACATCGAAGTACTGTGTGATGTCGAAAATGAAGTTTTCCACTTCTTGGGCATTCCAAAATCCACTTATGGCTTTGGCTCAAGAATTTTCAATTCTTTGCCATGGGAGCGAGGTTCACAACACCCCCGATTTGGTTTCTGCCTCCTCGAATGAGGCCTTATAAAGTAGCATTAACAACATTAAGATGTCCTATCAAGTTGTATATATTTTGATGCATGGGAGTCACCCTGTCTGCCTCTTGTGCCTTGTAGGCTATTTCGGTTACCTCTGTGGTTGCCATTTGCCGGTCTCCTTCAAAGTCGCGACTGATGTTTTCTATGTCAACTTCGATCTGGAACATTTTGCGGTCCAGGTCGTCCAACCTTTGCACTAGGCTGGTTCTTAGTTCAGGCATCGTATCCATGAGGGACCGTAATACTTCAACCGTCTCTTAAAGAGCCGCGATGTTATCCCCATGATTCACCATGGTCAGAAATGGTAGTAATGGTAATGTGTTCCCTTGTCCGATGTCGAGCCTAGGCTCTAATACCAACCGTTATATGACGCCTTCCTGAGATTCCTTGGAAGGGCGACGTATGGCTAAGCAACTGATGTCAGTGCAGTTACTATCCACCAACTGAGGTCCCTTCCGTACGCTAGACGAGATTGTCAGTGTTGTACGAAAAAACCAATGTCTAGAGCAATTGAGAGAAAAGAAATGAGAATTGAGAATGAAAGAAAGCTTGATTGCATTAATAAAAGCTATTACAAAAAAGCAACACGTGTCGAGGGGGAGAGACACCAGTACAGAGAATTGTTTGCTTTCTAGAAAGTTTGGTTTCTTGATCCACCCTAATAGTGCTTAAAAAAATAAACCAAAGTTATAAGACTTGATTTAACTAATCTAGAGGAATATAATGGAAGTACATGAAATAAAACTACTCTATAATCACAATGAAAAGGAGTTAGTTTTATACAAGGTAGAAACAGGTCCGTTATCAGCAACCTTGTCTTTGGCATTACGGTCTGCGCGTGCGGCGTTGTCTGTGCGCGCGGCACTGTTGGCATTTTCCTGCGGCTGGGGGCTGGCGAGGGATATCGGTGAGGCGACAGAGGTACATGCGCGCTTGTCACTTGGCGTAGCCAAGACCACGAGATCGTCCATGAACCTAGGCATTGGAAGGCTTGCTAGGATACCATGGGGCGCGTCCAAGGGGTCATGGGGTATGGCTGAAAAGCCGCCCATGACAGTTGACAAAGCTTCATCACAACAACAACCGAAATGGTAAAATGGAGATTAACTGTCTTATTCTCACATATTTTTATTAGTTCTTTCGAGTTTGAAATGCTGCATTTTATGTGGATAAATTTGTTAACAAAAATAAGCTATGCATAATCCCGCGATACATGTACGAAATGCTAGGAATCTCTATTCAGATCGGATAGCCTATCTTGTATTTTTAAGTATTTCTAGCTATATTTCATTAAATTAAAATTATTACTCCGTAGTAAAAATGTTGACTTCTTAAATATATGGAGCTAATAAAAGTAAAGTTAAATTATTCCGCCATATTTAAATGTTACGTTGTTAAAGTGATGATTCTGACTTTGGTATATTACTACATCTGATTTTCAAATTTGAACTACTTGATTATATGCCATCTCACTGTAACCATGAGAGCGTTAAGCCAAGTACAATACAATATTGGCATGTACTATCCAGAGAGAAACTCTCATCCCGCTGTAAAAAGTTACACTTCTACTGTGATCCACCTTTAATACAAACTGACTCACCTAACCCACACGGAAAAAAAAAGAATTTACTATGCAAGGAGATACTCCGTAATTATCAACTCTTTCGGGAAGAGGTTCACCCATCTCTACCGAAAAGCTTAGATTCAAAGCCTATGGAAGCCAACTGAAGATTTTTGTCGGATTGATTTTGGCTTAATTATTTTATTATAAGGTTCCAAAAAGAGGAAAATAGGCTAAAGACCCTTCACAGTGGGCCTGGTTCATTAATGGATATTTCCTCACAATTCAGGAAATGGGAGCCAAATTTTGTAGCTGCTACAACTATATAAGTTAATACATTTACAACTATCTGGATTCGTCTCCCCCAACACAGAAATTCTAAAGAAGATTGGTAGCAAAATTAAAAAATTACTAAAGATTGGATGCATGTACATCAATTAGGGGTATCAATGGATATTTTAAAACCGACTAAACTAATCGAATCGTACTGTACCGAATCGATTTTTTGATTCCTTTTAATAAAACCGTAGGTTTTTATATAAAGCAATAACCACAACGATAATTAGGATATGTTTTTAATTTTAAGAAAATAAACCGAAAAATACCGAATAAATTTATACGTGAAAATATATTTATATATTAAATTTAAAAATAATTAAGCAACAACTTTTTCTTTGGGCCATGCAATTATGAAAACTATTAAAAGTCAACAAGTAATTAAAACTCAAAACTCAAATTCCTAGCGCATCGTTCGGCAGTTTGAGGCCATGAGTAGCTTCACATTAGGTATTATGACTTGTACGTATGGTTGGAATTGAATTTCAGAAAGTTCGGAGTTGATTAGGAAAGAAAATTCTAATTTCGGAAGCTTTAAGTTGGAGGAATTGACTAAGGTTTGACTTTTGAGTAAACGACCTCATAATCGAGATTTGAAGGTTTCAAGAGGTTCGTATGATTATTTTGGACTTGGGCGTATGTCCGGATCGGGTTTTGGATGACCCGAGAGCATTTCGACGGCTATTGTTGAAAGTTGGCATTTTGGAAGGATTTCATAAATTTGGGTTGAAGTGTATTTTAATGCTATCGATGTCCGTTTGGAATTTCGAGCTTGGGAATAGCTCCGTTTGGTGATTTTGATCTTGGGAGCACGTCTGGACATGGATTTGGAGGTCCGTAGGTCATTTTCGGGTTATTTGGCGAAAGTTGGAAGTTGGAGGTTTTTGGAAGTTTGACTAGGAGTGGACTTTTGATATCGAGGTCGGATTCTGATTCTGGAAGTTGGAGTACGTCCATAATGTCAAATGTGACTTGTCTGCAAAATTTGAAGTCGTTCTGCATTGAATGATATATTTCGTCACAAGATATAAAATTTTAAAATTTGGAAATTTATAAGTTTGAGGCTTGGACTAAGTTCGTAATGTATTTCGGGATGTATTGGTATAATTGATTAAGGTTCCGAGGGCGTCAGGTAGATTCCGGATGGTTAAAAGATCAAGTTTTGGACTAAGGAATTGCTGAGGCAGCTGGTATCTGGTGTAACTGCACCTACGAGGTTTTGGCTGCATGTGCGGAGCCGCAAAAGCAGCCAAGAGGGTGCGCAAAAGCGGTTATGGCCGGGGAAGGCTGGGACCGTAGATGCGGTCGAGTTTCGCAGAAGTGGGACCACACCTGCGCACCTGGAGTCGCAGAAGCGCTGCAGGGGTCGCATATGTGGAGTTGGGAGGCCTGGAGGAGGACCGTAGAAGCGGTATTTGGGCTGCACCTGCAGAACTGCAGAAGCGGTCATCTGACCGCAGGTGCGGAATGTCGCTTGGCAGAGAGATTTTTATAAAAACAGAATTTGGCCCATTTTTCTTCCATTTTCACTTGGTTGAGGTGATTTTGGAGAGCTTCAAGGAAGGATTTTTATCAAGCAACATAAGTTAAGTGACTCCAACCTATCGCAAGTTAAATGCATGGATTCAATAAGGATTTAAACATGAAAATTTGTGAAAATTTGGAATTTTGGTAGAAAACCTAGAGATTGGTATTTTTTTTATTTTGA